TGGACCAATTTACATTCCCACCAGCAGTGTAAGAGAGTTCCCCTTTCACCACACCCCCACCAACACTTATCGTTTTTTGTTTTTTTTAATATTAGACATTCTGACTGGGGTTAGGTGGTATCTCATTGTTGTTTTGATCTGCATTTCTCTTACAGTGAGGGATGTTGAACATTTTTTCATATGCCTTTTAGCTATTCTTATGTCATCTTTGTAGAGTGGTTTTTTCCACTCATTCTCCCATCTTTTTTTTTTTCTTTGAGAAAAGCCAGCATAAAGCACTTTTATTGAATAATAAAACTTGAAACTCCTATATGGTGCCAGGGATTAGGGGGAGGGGGGCGGGAGGAGCAACAATTTCTCTCACCAAATCACTACACAGGACAGCAAAGGGGTGAGAAGGGACTGAGGGAGGAACAGCCAGGAGACTTTGATATCAGCAGAGGGAGCCAAGCATCAAAAACCAGGAGATGCTGAAGCTGCGATGACCAGCATCACTTTCTCAAGAGAACACTCAAGGATGTGTCATGATGGCTGGGCTTTCACTGGGTGTTAAGTCTACAAACAGCACCTTCATTTTAAACTTTCTATTAAAGTTCTTAAAATTTAGGAAGTGGTGGAGCTTGGATAGTTATGAGATTACAGAAGTCCTGAAAATCCATTAGAAAACCACAGGACAGAAGAAAAAGAAAGGGACAAAAAGCCAGGCCATGAAGAAGGCTTCAGAGGTCCCCGCTGGCCCAGGGACAGATACCTGTAGTGTCCACATCGCAGTGAAAATGATCTGCTTTCAAAAGGCAAAGGGTTTAAGGAGAAGGAGGGGTGGTGGGCTGGTGGAGACAAAGGCTCTCCCCCTCCCCACTTCAGTTTAGGGTAGCTTTTAATTTAACCCAAGGACATTTCTCAACTAAGAGAATAATTCAGTCCTCCACAGTGCCTCAGATCTGCTATGGCTTTGCAGGGCAGCAGCAAGAATGTTTAATATATAATAGATAAAAATTTCATCCAAAAAAAAATAAAGATTCTTACACCCTTCCCCCCAATACCAATTCCTATTCTAAAGTTAACCCATCATTTGTGCTGTTAATACTTGACCCTATACTTAATTGGAAACCTATACCCAAAAGACTGAAACTGAATCTTCACCCCAAATGAAAACAAAAACAAAATAAAATGAATAATTTGAGGTTTATGGCATATAGTTTAGGTAAACACACATACGAGGGGAAAGGGGAGAGGAAATGGAGGTGTGGGAAGCAAAGCTGAGTGACAGAACACATTCAGTCAGGGTAGATGTTTACACAGAGTGTAGTGGAACATCAGGAAAAGCTCCGCGTACATTCGTGTATACGCATCTGGAGGCACCACATCCCTCCATGGCAGATCTGCCAAGAACAGGGAGCTGAGGGAGGAGGCCATTCCTGTCATTCCAGTTTTAGAAGTTCCACGTGGAAGAAGAGAGTGGCGTGTGGTGGGATGATGCCTGGGTGCCCAGTAGCACCGTAGGCATAGTCTGGGGAGATGATCAATTTGGCTCGCTGGCCCACCCTCATCTGGGCAACCCCTTCTTCCCAGCCTCGGATCACCTCCTGTTTGCCCAGCATAAACTTAAAGGGCTTGTTTCTGTCCCGGGAAGAATCAAATTTCTTTCCATCTTCAACCATCCCGGTGTAGTGCACCACGCAGGTCTGGCCGCGCTTCGGGAGGGTGCGCCAGTCTCCGGGGGAGATGGTCTCCACCTGTACTCCCATGGCGGCGGCGGACGCTGGGCGGGCTGGCGGCGCAACGGACAGAGAGCGGACCTGGCGGGTCTCCACTGCTCAGGTCTCGTCTGTCCGCGCTCTGTGCTCTGTCCGCACGCCTCCCATCTTTTAATAGGATTGATTGTCTTTTTCCGGAACAGCTGCTTGAATTCCTTGTGTATTCTGGTTATCAGTCCCTTATTTGACGCATAGTTTACAAAAATATTTTCCCATTCTGAGGGCTGTCTATTCACACTAATTACTGTGTCTTTTGCCTTTCAGAAACTTCTTAGTCTGATGTAATCCCACTTGTCTATTTTGGGAATTATCGACTGTGTGTTGGGAGTCTTATTTAAGAAGTCTTTCCCTCTTACAATGTCTCCCAGAGTTTCCCCAGTGTTTTCCAGGA